CAATTAAACCTCTTTTATTTGTATATTACCCAGTCTCAGGTATTTCTTTATAGCAATGTGAGAACAGATTACAATACCTTATTTGATTTCTGCTCTCTATCCTTTCTAGCATGGCTCCCTCCCTTGGGCTTCCATAGTAGTCTATGCCTATATCTAGCAATTGTACTTTTTTCAATGTATTTTAACTGTTTATGTATCTTTCTCCCTCATGAGATGATCAGGAATAATTTTTAATCTATCATTCCATATCTGCCTCTCAGTCCTATGCTTGGCATATAACAGATGCTCAGTAAATATTTCTTGGAGCAGATTTAATGGAGGTAATAGTCGAAACTGTGGGAGAAAGTGAAATCTCCAAGAGAAAGAGAAATTTACTGTGATTTTCATGTATACTTTTATTTAAGAAGCCAGGTTAAACTCACAGGAAAAAGTTAAAGTTGATTGATTTATGTTTTCTTCCTTAACAAGTATTCCTGATTGCATTCATGTCCTTTGTTCATTCCCTCTTAATTTACCAGTAGCATGTCTTCATCTGAAATGGAGTTATTGTTTGCTCATTTTTATTTAAATTCACTTAAATATTAAGTTAAACCTTAAGAAATCATTTTTCATGGATCAAACATAGATATTGGCAATTTTTATGGTTCAACCCAAAGTATAAGGATTCAGAGCTAAGTAGCTTCGTTGCATCCGTTTACTGTATTTTTACACAGCTCACATAGTCTACGTTTCTTGGTATGAGTGACTTTTATAGTTGATATAGATCATCTCAATGCACGTACTGCCTCGGTACGTGGCATTCAACCAGGTACTATGTAAGTAAAAGTTGGAAAGTCGTGCATCAGAAAAGCCTCAGAATGGACTTTTGTATTCTGTAGAAAAGTGAACTCTATTACTGCCTCCATGTTCACTCCCAACTTTCAATTGCATGGCTCTATGAGAGTTAAAATAATGTAACATTATTAAAATGTTAATTTGTTCCTTTATGCCTATCCCACAATTGAATTTTCAAGTAGTTGATTACATTTCTCTCTGTGGATTCAGGAAACCGTTAGTCTCACATTATCTAATTTACTAAACATATTTTGGCCCTTACAACTTTTCCATTAGTCATTCCTAAACACATTTAGCACAAATGAATAAGACGATATTTGATGTTAATGAGCATTGCTTCCTCGAGGCAGAGCAACCCGGGACTGCAGGTACAGTGGGAAACCAAATGTTAGGATTGCAAAACCTTGGAACACTGAACCTATAGACCTCTGCTTGGGCAAATTCGATCTTATCAGAAAAGGTAACCTACTATTAATATGAATGTTGACGTTAAGATGAATTTCAGTGTTATTATGTATGTTGGCATTAAGATGAATTTCAGTGTTATTATGAATGTTTGTGTTAATATTTTATTTACAGCTGACTCCTTAATTCCTTCTAACTTTTAAACTTAAAACAATCTTTGAAACTAAATGAGCTGAAAATACCTTTTAAAAGAAGAAACACATTTAGATTCTGGTGCACAGCAAATTCCCTGTGAATAAAAGTTCCAAATTTGTGATTCTATTTGCATTTCCATAAACACAGAGTCTTTGTGCTTATTATGTGACAAATAACAGTGTTAGAAATGGGGTGTTTTAAGACTCTAATTATGCATATGTTCCCATTCTCATTGGTGCATGTATTGAAATGTAAAGCTATACAAAACTTGTACTTTGGGTTCAAGAGCTTTCTTTTTTTTAAGCTGATATTTTAATGAATTTTAACTAACATTGACTTCATTTAAAGGAATTAAAATATTAAGAAATTTAAAAGGTGCTAAGGTGCCACTGCTCCTTGGGAAGCAGATTCTGAAATGTAGATGAGCGTGCAAAATGTGTGTTAAGAAGTGTCCTGGGGGTCAACACCCGGAAAGGGAGGGAAGAAGCCAAGAGTGGGGAAAGGGAGAAGTTGAGCTGTGACGCAAGCCCGACAAAGGTCTCAGTCAACATCTCAGTGAGCTCCCTGGCTGACCTGAGTCTTTTCAGTTGGCCAAATCAGGCACAGGGGAGTGTCCTCCAGATCTCACATTGATCAGAGAGATTGGATTGTAGACCCCCAAGTTCTCACACTCACATGAGAGTTCCAGGTCCCAGGCATGGTAAGGAAGGAGCAGAGAGTTCCAGAACAGAAAAGACCATGTGGTCTAGACCACAGATGAATTACAGGTAGTTGGTATGGACAAGGTCGTTCACACCTGAATAAGAATCCCAGTAGCCCATCACATGACCAACACACACGGGTTTGAAGCTGACTGTGGTTATGTTCCTATATCTCTTGCTAAATAAACATAAATTCAAATTAATTAAAATTTAATAAAAGCAAAACTTTAGTTTCTACATTGCACTAACCACATTTCAAGTGCTTAGTAGCAACAGGCAGCTGGTAGCTATTGCGTTGGATAGCACAGAGCATTTCCACCAGAAATATTGAGATAGTAGGAAATATTGAAAAACAGAATTGCAGAACATTTTGCTGGACAACACTGCTCCACATGTATTACAAAGGCACATCTCTCGGAGGTCTTGCTGCCTCCCTGGGATACTTCCAGGAGGAGGCCCTTCCCCGCATTCTCTTTCTCCTTCTCTAAATCTAAGGAGAGTCTCTTTTTAATCTCCATAAAACATTAAGAAATATCTTCCCAATTCTATTTTTTACATTTATAATTGACATCTGATTTGGTTAACTATAACTGGAATCAACAGCAACTGAAAAGTGTTTTCATTCCCTTAAGAGAAGGGCAGGATATCAGGAAATATTTAGATTCATCCCACTCATTCAGTTAAAGAAAAAGAAGAAAACCAGTTGTTCTCATATTTAAACCATATAGACATTCATACCCTGCCACAGTAACATCCACAAATATAACATCGGTCAGCAAAAAATTAATGGAAAGCAATACAATTACATTAAGTCTATTTTAAAACCTAGAAAATACAACATTTTAGACTTAGCCTACTCCAAAATAAACCATGTTTGATAATACAAACCTGCTCCGTTGGGCAAACCTTTCTGTGAGTCACCTTCTTTAATTATTCAGTAAATATTGTTTTGGTAGCTTTAGTTGCCAATTCTTCCATAGCATTCTTCTATGAGTTTTTGTAACGTGGACTGCATCGCTTTTGAAACATTTCTGAACAAACCCTTCTAGCCTTGGTATTTAAAGTTTTTAGTAGCATTCATTATTTTTTTTTCTTCTGGAGCTTCAGTAAAAGTCTTACCATCACATAAACCACTTGTGATTATTCTCTCCCAGTCTAGTGTTCAAAGCTTATATTGAAAGGGTGGAGCTGAAGATCTTTCCACATCACATATACACCCTCCCATGAGACCCATGGGAAGAGGAAGATATACTTCTTATGTTCATGGTCTCCAGTGAAAGGGAGCTGCACGACATCACACATACATACACGTGTTGCATTTTTACAAAATATTATTGAAAATTATACAACTGCACCATGTAAAAAAACTAGTCTGGCACCACTGTATGATGTTGACACAGGAGGACTGCCATCTAGGTGTGGGCATCCATCAGAGCCCAAACCTCCCCGAGTTTGATGCTGCAGTCTCAGACTGGGAATCATTTCTTCATTGGTTCATTTATAATTTATTTATTGAAGCATACAGATGATAAACAATGGACTAGGCTTTGGGGGTTTACTGGAGCCTAGAACCAAGAATCTCTAATTAAATAAGAAACAAATTACCCATGTATTAATATGATTAAGTGACCAACACTTCAGTATAGTAAAGCTTAGATAGGAGAATGTGGCTTAGTGTTAAGGCTAAATTGGGGCTTCCAATGCCCTTCCCAAGTATATACTGTAAATCGAGATACATGCCTGAGCCAGTAGATGGGAGGCAGATGATGATAGACCCTTGAAGTTTAAGCCTAGTCTTTTCCTTAATCATTTGCGTGAGCCTGGATCACAGCTGTGCAGCACACCAAGTCTCAGGCAGAACAGAGAAAGGCAGATAGCCCTCACCCTTGAGATCAATGACCCTGCCCATCAGAGAGACATGGCAGGTGAATGAGTCATTCCCCTGCCATAGAGAAGGGCCTGGGGAGGGTGGAGAGGGGGATGGACACCCACTCAAAGTCACTCTACTCCTTAAAAACAAAGGGCAGATGCCATATTGGTCAATGGACCCAGGCAACATGGGAAGAGAGTTTTTAAACTTCTGTCCTCCTGCTAGCAATCCCTGTCTCATAGGAATGTTTAGGGGTGGGGAAATTAAATAAAATACGGGGTTGATATTGGTAGGTGTGTGCCTAGCACGTAGTTGGAGTCTGACAAGTAGCAGCAGGTTCTCTTTTCCTTCCCCTCTCTGATGTCTTAGGAGTTTCTTGAGAGGAGGTATTGGGTCTGAATAATTTTTGCAGTACATTTGTTGAATGGAATCATTTTACTTATTGAGACTTCAACATGCTTAGCACTGAGCTTATTTAGTTTAAAAATGTTAGAATTACAGGATTTTTTAGACCAAAAAAGGGGCCTTTCAGATCATAAACCAATTCCTTCATTTTACAGAGGAAGAAACCAGGGCCCAGTGAGCTGGGAGCATGAGGATTCAAGCTCCCATCTCAGAGTGCTTTCCGCTTTTCACTAGGAGCACCTCAAAGGCAGTGTTTCCATCACATCTGTATCCCCAACACCCCACAAAAGTATCTGGCATGTTGTTGTCTCTTAGATAATATTTGTTAAATATATTAATTCACCATATCTCCTGCTTGGCCTTTGACAGTTGTAGATGCCTTGTGGCTTTGCAAGACTATTATGATAGATACAATTCGTGATGTAACCTTCTCTACACTGTATGTAAGGGCTTCAGGATTGAGTCTTTCATGGAATATGTAGAAAAATAATTAAAATGTTTTAGTATCTTTTATAATACATATATGTATGTTTTTAAAGGTACATCAAGGAGTAATGCACCACGTGGTGTGTGTTTCATTTTTATTTTAGGTAGGAGAAGTAATCACAGGTGGTCAACGAGCATTCACATCTGTGAAAACTACCTCGGACAGGAGCAGAGAACACATAAACACAAGGTACCACCCTCCCAGTCTGTCCTTAGCTATATGATATTGTTCTCTTCATTGTCATTTGTTGGTTGGAATGCAGCTTCCAAAATTATACAATTATTTAAAGTTCTGAGATGATTCATACCATGAATGTTAATGTTTGTTTCCCAAACCATAGACTCTTGCTTTGTAGGGCTCCTGATCCCTAAAATCAAATCTGTGTATATACAGGTCCCAGTGTCTCATCATAATATAACATGACTGGTAATGTCAACACCAATGACGGCTAACATTTACCAAGTGCTTGCTTCGTGTCAGGTGCTATTCTGTGTGGTTTACCCATATTCACACATTTAATCCTCGTAATTTTTATGCTCAATTTCCAGTTAGGGGAGCTGAGGGAGGGAGAAACTTAGAATGTACTGAAGGTCATGTAGCCGTGACATGCTGGGACAACCTCGCTGGTACCGTTGCTGTCACAGCCTCCCTTTTAAGATCCGTGTGTCACTCCACAGATGCCTCAACTCTCAACGGTACTAGGGCCCCTCCTGTCAATCTCCTGACTGTTGGTCATTTTCTGACCTTTGCTTAAATTCCTTTCCCAATAGGACCCTCATCCTCTCAAGAGAGTATTCATTCCCTTCTTGGTATCCTCTACTGTTAGACAGCCTCTCTCTGTCTCTCTTTGATTCCTAAGTGAAGGTCCAGGCTCTGCTTCCTGGAGACCGTCAAAACCAAGCCAATCTCCCTTAAGCAATGACATCCCATAAAGTAATTTGCACAAAGCTCTCCCCTTTCTCAGTTCTTCTCTAGAATGAGATCCCAGTTCTTCCAACTGTCCTTCTGCTTCTTATGATTTTCAGACTCTTATCATCCAGATGGTAAAATCTATTTTGAAGTAAGGCAAACTATCTTTGTGATACAAATGTATATGCTAGAATTACCATCATAAAAATACCTGAACAAGAGCTATATTTATGTGTTGCATAATAAAGCAGTCAGGCATTGGTATGTTCAAAGACAACTGCTGAACTTTTGTAGAGATTTTTAAACATGGGGTTTGTTTGAACAACAGGTATGCAATTGAATTCCTACTGAAAAACGGGTTGCTGTTTTTAACCTTGGAAATCCACTCTATTTCCCAGCTTAGTGATTTCCATTGCACATACAAGATTCACGGGTATTATGTCTATTATGAATATTCACAGTCATAATTAACCCCCAGCAGCATCAACACATGGAAAGAGTCTGAATCTAATTTGTGAGGAATCAGCAATGGAAAGTCAAATCATTGCAAACAGTTCAGAGCTGGTTTTCAGACCCCAGGAAAACTATCATTACTGTGATTACACTTGAGGATTCACGATGTCTTAGCACGATTCTTCATAGCAGTCCCTCCTGTGGTATTTTTGCAAAGCCTTTCTTTTTCATTTTGATGACTGAGAAATGATCACACCACAATCACATATAAAATGCCTGTGGGAAGGTAGTTGTGTGGTGCTCCTTCATCACTGGCAAACTCTATTGTGCGCGTTATCCCAGCCTCAGGCCGGGCAACCGCATTAACCAAGCAGCTGCCCGTTCAAGCTGCTCACGGGAACTGAGATCAGGCAGGATTGTTGGTTTTAGGCAAAGGACTATGGATGCAGCCATCCACTGGGAGGGCCACAAGAGGCTCCTTGACCCTCTCTTGGCAGAGTGGTTTGTTTCTCATGCTGGGGAGAAAGTGAATGGGGGGGATGAGAAACTGGGGTAGGATTTTATTCATCAGGACTGGAGGGTAATACTCAGTGACCTCTTGTGGTCCCTTAACACTGTAAAATGAAAAAAGATGCACAGATTCCTCCAAATGAAGGGATTTATTGAGTGCTGACTCTGCTACATGATGTTATGTGTTGTCTGTCTTTCATCTTCAAGAATAACACTGCAGATAAATACTATTATTTCTAATTCACTGAGATTGAGAGATGGCATTTGCCCAAGGTGTCAAAGCCGATAAGTGGTAGAACCAGGATTATACAACCTCAGACTTGCCTTCTTCTTCTTCTTCTTCTTTCTTTCTTAATTTTTTTTTTTTTTTTTTTTTTTTTTTTTTTTTTTTTTTTGAGGCAGAGTCTCGCTCTTATCAAGTGCAGTGGCAGGAGGCTGGAGTGCAGTGGCAGGATCTCGGCTCACTGCAACCTCTGCCTCCCAAATTCAAGCGATTCTCCTGCCTCGGCCTCCCGAGTAGCTGGGACTACTGGTGCCTGCCACCATGCCTGGTTAATTTTTGTATTTTTAGTAGAGATGAGGTTTCGCAATGTTGGCGAGGCTGGTTTCAAACTCCTGACCTCCTGTGATCCACCTGTCTTGGCCTCCCAAAGTACTGGGATTACAGGTGTGTGCCACCGCACCCGGCCAGGCTTGCTTCTTAATCTCTTCCTGGTGTCATTTGATGAACAGAAGATTTTGATTTTAAAATAATCAAGATTGTTAAACTTTTTTATGGTTAATTATTTTATGTTTGTTCTGTTCTAGAAATTCTATCCTGCCCTGAGGTCATAAAGGTAGTCCTTTATGTTGTAAGGCTTTATACTTTTGCCTTTCACATTTAGGTATAATTTGAGGAAACATCTAATCCATCAGGAATTAAGTTTGTTTAAAGTATGACAATTTAATATGTTTAAAGTATGACAATTTAATTTTTCACAGTGTGGGCACCCTACTGTCCCCGTGTCTCTTATTAAAATGGTTATTCTGTCTACATTAGTTACCAAGGCCACCTCTGTCATAGACCAGGTGTCCACATCTGTATGGTTTGCCTCTGGTCTCTATTCCGCTCTACTTCCTTAATTTCCATAGTCTTATAATGAGTTTTATAACTGGTAGGAAGTATCCTCTCACCTTATTCTTCTTGAAGAGTGAGTTGGCTAATTTTATCCCTTTGCACTTACATATATGTTTCAGAATCAACTAAAGAAGTTTTACTCACACACAAATACACACACAGGTATGCATTGGGATTTTCTTTGGAATTGTATTGACCACATAGATCAATTTAGGGAGAACAGTTCTTATAGGATTAATATCTCTCTGTCCTTTCTTCAATCTTATTTGGTATCTCTTTATAAATTTTCCATAAGCATACCAATGTTTTATTAATTTTTAGGTGTATGATATTTTGATGCTATCACAAATGTATTATTTATTTATTTTTTCTCTGCTGCTGGTATGTAGATGGCAATTTACTTTTTCATTGTGGTAAAATACACATTACCTCAAATTTACCATTGTAATCATTTAAAAGTATACAATTCGGTGGCATTTAGTATATTCACAATGTCGTACAACCATCGCCACTAAGTAGTCTACTTTTGCGTTTGATTTTGTAGCCAGCAACTTTACTAATCTCTCTCATTATTTTATTAACGTATCTGTGGATTCTTTTAGATTTTCTATCTGCCTGCAAAGAATGGCAGCTTGCTGGCTGGCTTACTTGCTTTCCGATTGATCCTTCTCTCTTTTATTTCCTCTTCATACCTTACTGCACGGGGAGAGGCTCCAGGATAGTGTTGAGTAGTGGAGTGAGGGCAGCATCTTTGTTGTTCTGCTGAGTCCAGAGGGAAGCTTTCCATCTTTTACTAGGAAGTCTGAGACATGTTATTTAAACATAGTCATTGTAGTGGTTTTATAGTTCATGTTTTCATATTCCAATATCTGAAGTTTTTATATTTCTATTTCTGTTCTTGTTAATTCTATTGGTTCTTATGGTTTTTTTTGTTTGTTCGTTTTTGGTTTTTTTCCTTGAGTAGTCGTCTTTTTTTTATTCATTTATTTGTTTTTTTGAGATAGAGTTTCTCCTTTGTTGCCCAGGCTGGAATGCGATGGCATGATCTTGGCTCACTGCAACCTCTGCCTCCAGGTTCAAGCGATTATTGTGCCTCAGCCTCCTGAATAGCTGAGACTACAGGCACGTGCCACCATGCTCAGCTAATTTTTTGGTATTTTTAGTAGAGACAGGTTTTTGCCATGTTGGCCAGGCTGGTCTCAAACTCCTGACCTCAAGTGATCCTCCCGCCTCAGACTCCCAAAGTGCTGGGATTACAGGCATGAGCCACTATGCCTGGCCTAGTTGTTTATTTTTTACTGTGAGCTACTGCATATAGAACAGTTCTCTGAGTGACCTTGGACCAACCCTTTCCCCGTACTTTCTTAGTTGTAGTTCCCAAGAATAATTGTGGAATGTGCTGGGAATACAACATCTTGAGATAGAAGGGAGCTGGCTGAAATAGCCTCAGTTCTGTTTCAGTCGCCTTCCCCGCTCCGGAAACATATGTCCTTCAAAGCTTCATCCCAGTGATCATGTGGTCCAGGGGTATACAATCCAGGATGGGCTGCTTCCTGGGGTCCCTGTGCTGTGGTACAAGTGGGGCATGTGCAGAAGAGATGCCATCTGCTTCCCAGGCAGCTTTCCTGAGCTTTGGGGTGCAGCCCCCAATGCACCTATGGTTTCTGTTGTTCTCTCCTGCCTGTCTATAAGGAATAAATCTGCTTCCTGCAGCCTGTTGTGTATGGGGGTGTTCTATTTTACTGGACTCCGGCAAGTTGGTAACCAGTGCACAGGCAACTTGCTTCACACTCCACTGCCTAGGAAAATAGTCTGGTGCTTCCTTAGAGGCCTGGGAGGTACTTGGCCAGGGAACATTGGCATGTGCTGCAGAGAAAAACACTGCCAATTTGGAACCACTTTCATCTAAATTCAAGATTGAGGATTTTTAACCAAAAACTGCTATAAACTTTCTAGCTTGTGGTGACAACTCAGTTTTCCTCGGCCCCACTGAAGCAGCTTTCCTCAAAGTGCCTTGCGGAGGTGAGCAGTGGGCATTTACTTATTGTTCACTCTTAAAACAAGAGAAGCTCTTTGGCACTGCACCCTTACTATGGAGAGGGTGTCCCATTAGACTGCCTACCTGGCATGTTCAGGGCCTTGGCCTCTGTCTTCAGACTCCGTAAGGTCAGATTGACCAAAGCACAACTTCAAGGGCTCC